CCCCCTAGCTCCCCCGTAGTTCACAATCTGAGTGTATTACAAAGGTGCAAAACAGATTTCAGTACTTCAATAGGTTGGTATATTAACATTATAATTAATGAAATTAAATGTAAATTTAAGTTAAAACCGTAAAACCTAAAACGTTGCTACCGTATTTTTTATGGTAAACTTCCGGCAACCACAGCCGCCGGTTTTTTACCGTAAATTTTACAGATTTTTTTTTACAGTGTAGTCATCAGCTGAAAGTTATTTTAGAGGCAGAGCAAGTTATTTTAATACATTTTTCAGAAAGATTACAAGGACAGTAAATGTTTTCTTTTGGAATAACGTGCAGGGTCAAGGGTCAATTATGATTTCATATTGACTGTAAACTCAGTGCTTCATACTTAACACAGTGTCCAGTGTCTCTAGTCTCTTCACCCACCAAAAATTATCCTGTTACTAATATGATCTTACAATACGTTCCACATTCTGCCTTCTGTTCAATTTTTCCAGTCATTGCCATGAGTGTACCTTGGCATTCTGGCTGCTTTTTGTCTGACTAACTGTGCTGTGATTGTGGTATGAATTAACATTTCAATTGGTCCAAGTCGTGGGGGGAATTCTTCAAAAGATTTATATTAGTGGAATGGCAAAGGTCTAATATTGTAGGGATATCAATTACTTCACAATTTCTTGTGCGGTAAATGTGACTTCCTGTACGGCAAAAAGTAATGTACAATAACTATATGGTAAAAAGGGGTGAAGAATCACTTAATACACCAAAGTACAGTATTTCTTTAACATGACTGGTACCACAGCTTCATGTGCCAGTACCAATTAAATTCCGATTTTTATGGCGAAGCCAGTGACAAGGTAATCCGTACGTCTGGCTAGCACCAGACGGAAATGTGATCTGTCTTGGCGTAGTGCTTATTTAGATAAGACATGTGGAGTTGGTTATAGAGTCTGAGACAAAGTAACGCTGCAGTAATGCTCTTCTCTACAGACTGTCAGTGATAGCCGGCTCTGGCCGAGAACCGCTGCACATGAATACTGTGACCTTTCCGATCCACCATTGCCGCCTTAGAACAAAAGCTGCCCAATCAAAGAAATAGATGTGATTTGCTAAAGCAACGTATGGCCAATTATATCAAGCAGTTATAAAAGAGCCAAACACAAATCACATGGAAACGGAATGTCCCATTGCTTCAGTTATACCACTGAGAAAAACCAGTGCATTATAATAGCTAAAGCCCATCAAACAGCATTAGTTGCAATTAATACGAGAACTGCTAGATATACAAGACCAAACTGGAAACATAATAGCTGTTCTTCTTGTCACTTTCAAAGCTTTTTCCTTCTAGGATTATAAACTCAGGCCTTTAACAGCAACTATGCACACATTTCATGGGCCAGCGCCATGTACCGCAGTCGTCATATTTTTTTTCCAGTACATGCAATGCTGTATCTGTGACCAAAGTCTAGGAATCAAAACAACAGATCAAGAGGGCGCTGAGACTGTTAACTGAATGACTCAAAAGGCTTGTGGTACATGTGATACATTCGCTGACACTGTTTCTATTCAGATCATTCCATATAGGAATATAAAACCGATTGTGTCATTTACAGACGTACCGTACATCTCTCTGGGCTGTGCTCATTTTATTCTGTGCTGCAGAGCATTTGTGGCTGTGGTGTTCGTGGTTTCGGATTTGCTCTAATTGGTGCTATATTGCAGTAATCTCAAGTTGCCCAATGCTTTTTCATTGGGGCCTGTGAAGAAACTGCAGCTGTTTTTGCAATGAATTTTACAGCTTCATAACCATATATTCTCATTACATTACACAACATTACTCAGTATTAAGTCAACAAATACACTTATTAGAGCAAAAAAGCAGGAAGTGCTTATATAAAAGTACATTTTCCTGGAAAATTGGGTCTGAGAAATCCTGAAACATCCTTTATCCGAAAAAGTGGAAACACAAGTGGGAATTAATCTGTCTTTTATGTGGAAAGTTTTGTACATTTGCAGTATTGTGCAACTTAAGTGAACAACTCGACCTTAACGTGTCCCTTCTTTTTTGTGTTTTCCTAGGTGAAAAAAGAGCTGCGTGTAGCTAGTATCAACAAATGTGGTAGCGAGGCTATCTCTGAGGGAAAGGAATTTATGGTGTGTGTTGCTGTGTTATATGCCTGGGCTACTGCAGAGGAATGTGCTGTCTGCTTTAAGGTGTCATATGGGGATGCTCTTTGTGATTACAAAAGCTTGAACTAAAACACCCCTATGTGAGAACATCTGTGCTCATGTCTGAGTGGGAAATAAAGATTTATCAATAACCATAATTATACGTAATTTAAAAATAAAAATGTTTTTATTCTGAGCTCAATTTGAGGTGCCACTAATGTATCAAATATGTGCAAATCATCATAATTAAACTAAGTGGAATAAAACCTGGGGCTACTTTAGTTTTCAGCAAGTATTTTGGTTACACTTTATTTTGATAGTTCACTTTAGACA